TTCGGCTCCTCGCCGCTCGCCTACGGGGTCGTCGCCGAACGTCGACCCGAGTCCACGCGCCTAGTCGCCGCGACAGGGCTGAGTGGGAGGACTGGAGTCAACAATAGCAGGGGTGTGGTCCAATAGGATACAGGGAGTGGGGATTTGTGCGATGGCAGATCAAGGATCAGGTATTGTAGTGGGTCGAAAGTATTCTATTCCACACTGTTGGTTATACTTAAATACATCAAAGCTCGTGCTATTTATTGACGGTGCTGAGCTGCGCAGAAAAGGAGGAACAAAGGCCAATTCAGAAAGAAGGGACGGCATGAGAGGACGGGTGGCAAAAGCGAGGGCGATGTTCTGTATCACGTATCACATAAAACGGCTCAATTTGGAAGGTTTATGTCATCCGTCCAGCCGTGGGCCAGCCAGCTTGGGGAACAGCTTGAAGTTGAGCTGGTCATGAGCTTGATTTCGGATCTATCGACCCGGCTTGGCTTGTTCCAGCAAGCCGGGCGTCTAGCTGGCAAGCCAAGCTACAGTGACTGCCGAAAATAGTGCACCGGCGCTTCGTGCGACCGAAATCCTGCTGTGCCGCCGTATCTACAAAGTGTACCACTGAATAAATGCAGTTATATACATTCCTATGAGTCCCTTAGTATAGTGCTGGGATGATAAATATTAACTCCAATACAATGCTTACACAATTGGCCAGAAACATGTTTCAGCGCTAATTTGGTATGCGCTGGCACTGGGCACTGGCGCAACTCTTCTTCAACATCTTCGACAACACGACCTCTAACGCTTATATCCTTTTAATACTCGCTTCACAAGATCCTTGTACACACGCCTGTTGCTATGACAGTGTGTACCCCCAGCAAACGTGCTCACATTTTGGCTTTCTGTGACCCCCGCTTTGGCAAGCCAAAGTCCTTCCGTGAAATCGGCTCTATCCTCGGCCTCAATGCTTCCACAGCCTCACGGAACTACAAGATAGTCAAAAAGGCCCAGGACATCTATTTCCGTCCCTGAAAGCCTGGCCGCCCTCGCAGCCTCTCCCCCCGTGACCTTTGTCATGCCGAGATCCTCCTGGCAAGGGGTACGGCTCGTGACGCAAGTGATGTCCAGCGACAGCTGTTCCCCACTGTCAGCCCTCGCACTGTTCAGAGGAGTCTCTCTGAGATTGGCCTGCATGGACGAGCACGTCGGGAGAAGCCGTACCTTAGCCGTTCAGTTGTGGCGCAGCAGAGAACCTGGGCAGAGGAGGCCAGCAAATGGGGCGATGCAGAGTGGCGCTTGGTCATCTACTCAGATGAGTCGAAATTCAATCTTTTTGGCTCAGATGGGAGGCAGTGGTGTTGGAGGAGAGATGGGGAGGCTTTCCTGGACAGGAACGTGAAGAAGACGGTCAAACATGGTGGAGGAAGTGTTATGGTGTGGGGGTGCATCACATCGCGTGGAGTCGGACGTCTTCACCGTATCAATGGCATCATGGATGCAAAGAAGTACGTCGCTATTCTCGAGGAGTCCCTCTTGGGTACACTTCACGACCATCGCATCCCTCCCCGCTGCTTTGTCTTCCAGCAAGACAATGATTGGAAGCACACGTCTCGTCTTGCCACCCGCTGGTTCGAGGATCACAACATCATTATACTCCCTTGGCCATCATCATCCTCTGACATGAACATTATCGAGCATGTCTGGGAGGAGTTAGACCGCCATGTGCGCCGTCGTTCCCCTCTCCCCCGGAATGTTGATGAGTTATGGGCTGCCTTGCAGGATGAACATCAGCAAAATGTCACGGACTTGTATAGGTACTTAGGGTACTTGGCTAAGTACCCTAAGTACTTTAAGTACCCCAAGTACCCTAAGTCCAATGGACTTAGCTAAGTCATGTGGGTCGACTTGTCTAAGTTCTGGTACTTGGCTAAGTCCTCTTAAGTCCTCACTCAAGTTGCTTCCCAAGTACACTGTGAACTTTATACATGACAGTCATATGAGTGATTACTGTAAGGTAAAATCAAAATAACAGTGCTCTCTATCATTGTCAAGTGCAGAACATTTGTGGGTGGGTGCAGCGGCGGCAAAAAAAAAATGCCACCACAGAGAATTGAACCAGCAACCTGCAAATACAGTTTTCAACATAGCATGTTCAACCACTACACCGCAGAAGCTCACACTATAGCACAGAATAGCAGCCATATATAGCGCTCTTTGCTGGACTCTGAGAAATTCTTCACCATCCTCTCCTGTACCATAGCAGAACTTGGACATCCACCACTAATACCACTATTCTTGAGCATTATCTGGATATTGTACCTCTGTATCACTACTGAAACAAGCACATTGTAACAACTTAAAGTCTTCTATCACATGTTATTGCCCTTCTTCTAATAGACTATAAAGCTGCTTCTACAGCCTTAAAACAGACTGGTTTACAACTAGTGTATGGATGTCTATGATGGATATTATTACATAAGAAGTATACAAGATGTGTGACTGATAGAACACCAATTGCTCAAATTGAGGCCTGAGTATACTGAAGTCAACAT